TGTACCGTATTAAAAAATCAAAACGTTGTTTCCGATTAATGAAAGAGTGCGTAAAAATATCAAATGCTCCTTTGTCGTATGTTCACAAGTAGATACGTGGCGTGATATGGTCTTGGAGGCACGTATGTACGTGCAAACGTAGGTAGGTCTTACGTGGGTAGCGCCATGATGTAACCAACAATTGCATGTTTTTATGGCCAGTTATCGGCCCACTTCATTTCTAAAAATATGTTCAAAATGTAGTAATAAGCTAATTTCATTTCACGAACTAAAAAAGAACGAAATTTAACAGCAGTCAGACTACAATAAATAGTTTCCCCCTAGATGTTTTCTATTCGCTTCAATGATAACAATGAAGAAAATTCAGTTATCAGAATCATACTGACATTAGTGAGTTAAAAATATATTTTGACATGCCCTCCTTTATCACAAATCAAACATGAACACCTCTTCTAAAAGCATACTGTCATTTCGAGCGACTTCGAAATCCGGTTTGTTCAATGATTAAGTTTGATGACATTTCGGCTTTTAGTTAAATGTAAATTTCTGACCTTCACGGGTGACATTTTGCCAAACTTAGTTGTCAGCAGCTGGTTGGATCAGCTCATACCCGTTTGCGACCTTGGCTAATTTAGATTTGCTACTACTGACCTCAAAGACTGACTTCAAATTCTCAATACAGTATCAAAGTAAACCGTAAGTAGGCGATAGCAGATTCCCAACACAGAACATGTCTGATGAAACAAAGCACGTTTTCGTTGGTTTGGTGGGAGTTCATTCACCTACACTATGGTTTCTTATATTCCTTAATATCATATTCGCGATCACTTCTATTCTGGGTAATGTTATTATTCTAGCTGCCCTGAAAAAGCAGTCATCTCTCCATCCACCGTCTAAGATCTTGTTAAGCTTCCTGGCGATCACTGATTTATGTGCTGGGCTTATTTCACTGCCAATTTTCATCACGCTACTGATGGCATTCCAATATAAAATTGAGGATATTGTTACCTTCACAACGGAACTCACCAGTTACATTAGTACAGCCCTTTGCTTATCATCTTTGTTCACACTTGCCGCAATAAGCGTGGACAGATTTCTCGCTCTGTTCCTGGGCATCAGATACAGACAAGTGGTCACCTTACGGAGAACTGCAATTATCGTGGTCTGTTCTTGGACTGTCATCGCCGGCTGCATTATCACGGTGAATTGGATTGACATCCTTACAGTCCTCCTCACTTACGTCACGGCCACTGTTCTCCTGTTTCTAATGGTGTCAATTTGTTGTTATGCAATGATTTATCAAAAGCTTCTTCAGCATCAAGCTCAAGTACAAGAAAATCTTCATCAAGGTGAACCAAACGGACACGAGCCCCTGAACATAGCTCGATACAGAAAGACAGTGTCCAGTACATTATGGATACAATTTTCATTAGTGGCTTGCTACCTGCCCTTTGGTGTAACTCTTGTATTATTGATGGTGTATGGCCATACCACATCAAATCTTATTTCCGCATGGGTATTTTCTAAAACTGTTGTCAACTTTAATTCGACACTGAATCCGATCCTTTACTGCTGGAAGATCACAGAAGTCAGACGAGCAGCTATTGGCATTATTCGAGGAGTATGGTGCGGTTAAGTTCAAATTAAGGAGCCATCGACTTTCTTTTACTCCACAAATGTACATATTTCAGGCTTATCCATAACATAATGTATATCTTTTATGCTAATAAGACCAATAAAAATCGCATTGTAATGTTGTAGATACTGTGAATAATATTTGTTTTAAAGCCAAGTGACCCATTCTGTGGGCGAGCTAATCACGGTTACGTCAGCATGAAACGACCTGGATTCAAATAATCACCAGAAATCCAAAGCCATCGCGTCAACATCCCGTGAAAGTTAGGCGGCATCATAAAACACTGTTTCTCGAAAGGTCCGTTAACTTATTACAGTCACTTTACGGACCGAAAAGCTAATCATTGGTTGGTTTTTACATTCTGGATCGAGAAACCGATAATTTTGAAATCAATCGATAAAATTTGAGGAAATCAAAAAGAGTGAGCAAGTGTTTGAACTTAGACTCGCGCAATTGTTCCTTAGATTGGGATTGAAAAAATATGGTTTCGGGCCTGGGACCTACGAAATTTGGGGATAAAAACGCTTTTTCTATCAAAATTCAACACGTTCACCTTTCGGATTCTGCGCTTCGATGACCTGACATTGAGCCACAGAGAAATCAGTTGTGAGTTGGGTCATTACAAGGTTCATATCGGACAAGTGTTCTGCATTCTACAGGGATCAGTAGGATCGAAACCGTCGTTTGATTCGACAGAGGTTTGAGCTCGGTGGTAAAATCAAGAAAAATTTTATTTACTTTGTCATTAAGTTTTGGCTTACCCAACTTTCAGATTAAGTTTTTACGAAAAAAAATGACTGAGCCTTCGTTAATAAACTTTGAATTTCCTGTAACACCACCGGGAAAGTGCTGTAAAAAATTTTATGGATGAACTTCGAAAAAAATCAACACTAAAACTTTACTGTGTTTTATTCTCATACAATGAAGATCAGTAAAGAATATCGGTGTATAAATAATTAAAACTTGCGAGAAATGAAACTGAGTAACACAGCAAGGAGCGGCTTATCGTTAAATTAGAAAAAAAAACGGAAATGTGTTTAATGAGACGTCATGAGTTTAAATTTTGTTTTCATTTTTTACTGTTTCAATTGGTTTCTCGGACAAAATCTAATAATCTTCAAAACGACTGATTAGCAAAGATAGTCGTGACGTAATTTTTGCCCTGGATCACTTAGCTTATCCCTCATAATATTTCGCAGACCCGAAATGATGTGTTCCAATTTTTGAGAAGGCTACAGCTCTTTATATGCTATCTTTATTACTTTTGGTAGGCCTACTGATAAGCCGAAATAGAAAAAAAAAAAAAGAAAAGAAAAAAAGGGAGGAAGGAAAAAGAAGACAAATTCACAGCGCGATGGTTTTTTAGTATCTGAGTTCGCTTTATACGAGCCCTCTCCCTCAGGATTTAGCTTCATGAATCGGACTAACATTCAAAGAAACACCCCGGGCTTCGTTTTTTGGTTTGATGATATGTACTAGCTTATAGTTGCAGTGCTTCAGCTTAAAAAATTCTTTCAGGTGAAAACGATCCCTTTCTGCAGCTTTCAACCTTAAATAACAAATACAAGGTGAACACATGAGTCATGTGGTATCCTTTGTTTATTCGAGACAAGCAACTAAAGACGTTATATGGTGAGTACGATTTGTTCAAGTTTAAAAATAATGTCTTCCTTAATTTCTAGGGTTACTTTTTCCATTTACACTTGTTCGTCAAAGTCACAACATCAGGGTGTCACCACTGACTAACACCGATGGTACGGAGTTGAAAACCATCCACGAAGACACAGGGGTGAGAGGGGGGGCCAGAGAGTCCCTCACTAAACCAGTCCCAGAAGCCATTTGACTCTCATTGGGCACAAAAAAAAACAATACTGCAAACTCTATCCTTAGTCCTTGTAGCTTTTCTGGTAGATAATTCGTAATTGGGGCCTGGGACTTAGACAAACCCTCCCCCTCTTAGGCATGTTTTGATCATGTAAAAGTACTTCTAGCGCAAAGCTCGCTCAGAAAGTGAACAAGGTTTTAGTATTGAAAGAACAAATGAGAGCAAATGTAGCCTGGAAAAAGTGTATTTATCTAAACGAGCAAACGTAGTCAAATAAGGCAATACGATGAATAAACATTTCTGCTCCTAAGCATAAAGTAGGAGACATATTCCCAATAAAATTAAGTGCTACCGCCTTTTTATTCTTGTGTGGCAGATTCGAGTCAGATTCACTGAGACAAAATAGAAACGACAAAACACATAAAAATATATCGGTGTTTATCATAAAAGAAGAACTGAGTTTGATTGTTTCACTCATTTAAGCTTTGAAGCACAACAGCAATTAAAAATATGGCATTGCTCTCGCAAAGCAATGCCGAAAGCTTTTTTCTTCTGAGAATGATAAAGTTTCCTAAAAACTGTATTGCGGTTAAGTAAGTAATGCTGTGAAGTTAAATGCGGTGAGTAGACAACGGAGGTGAGCCGTAGGCTAATTATTTTAAAAGGCTGAGAAGATGAATATTGTACTAAAGTAGTAGCAATTCTCGAAAGGAGTTGTATGTCTCGAATAACGTTAGCCTTGAACGAGACTCGAAACCATGCTGCCCTGCGGTGATGCCGTGGCGACGCTCCAACCAGCTGACCCGCCAATCACGGTGATTGGGAGCCGGTCATGAGTTCGAAATATGTCAATTGTGCAAGTATAAATTGCGTCGCAACAAGTCTGAAATCAATTTTTCTGTCACTTGTACGTGTCTCTGATTCAAACCAGCGGAGTCCGATTCTTTGGAAGATCAGAGATGTCCTTAATAGCTCTAAAATCGTATCATCATATCCAAATTAGGAATCTCCTGAAGCAGGTCTTTGTTGACGCAGCTGTACGGAGTAAATAATTACTTATATTACGACCTCACAGAAGCACTCATGGCAGGAGGCAAAATCAATCAAGCACCCTCATGAAAAAATTGTTATTTTAATTAAATTTTTAGTTAGCAAACAACAAAAACTTTCATTACAGCAAATCTATAAAACAGAATTAAAACGCAAATGGAAGATGAAGCATAGAATATATAACTATTGAATCATACCTCCGCTTCATTGAAATTTATAAGTATAAAATGTCAGTTATAAAATTATGTCACCTACAATTTTGTTTCGTAAAATAATCAAATAAACTGACACTCAGGTGAAACGGATGTAATAAAAATGAATATAGAATGAATTCGGCGCTAAGGCGCAGGCATATTTCGCTTAATGTACACTATATAAGGGTTGTTAATTATCTTACGTCTTAATTTGATTTACCAAAGACATCGTGAGAATTTATGAGTTTTATTTTCTGTGAAAGAAAATCTTAAACAACGTGCTTGTTGTCAGTGAGCAGAGTCGACTAGAATTTTTAGCACAAAACGTTCCTCCCAGACCAACTGTAGGCTGACCGTCATGATCAGTGATCTATACCGAGGTTGTCAAGGACTTTCACAAATGAAAAAGCAGTCATTTCGGTTTCTGGAAGCCGTGAACATTTTTCTGGCAATTACTGCTACTTTAGCCAATGTTTTCATCCTGGTGGCTTTTCATAAGGACTCATCCCTTCATCCACCTTCCAAGAGTTTGCTGCGTTTCTTGGCGATCACTGATTTGTTTGTCGGGATTCTCGCAGAGCCTTTTTATGTCGCGTTATTGTTTCTAACAGAGTACGGCGGTGTTAGTCTATGTGCAAAGATTTTTGGCATCGCCAGCAGGTTAGCGGGAATTTTAGGTTTATTATCTTTATTTACCGTAAGTGCAATAAGTGTGGACAGACTACTCGCTCTGCTGTTAGGCTTGAGGTACAGACAAGTGGTTACTTTTAAGCGAGTCCTAATAACTGTGGTTTGTTTTTAGACTTTCCTCACTACCGCATACGTGATTATCATGGGCACCTTTGCCCACCTTTTCTTTTACTTCATCACAATAATTTCGCTATGCTTAGCGGTCGCAACTTGCTGTTACATCAAGATTTTTCAGACGCTTAATCGCCATCAAGTTCAAATACAAGAACGAAGTCACGGCCGAGGACACCCAAATCGCCATCCTCCTCTGAACATTGCACGATACAGGAAGACAGTGTCTAACGCAATCTGTGTACAGTTTTCAGTCCTTATCTGCTACATTCCCTTGTTAGTAGTTATAATCTGTATGGCAATTCAGGGCATTGTTCCACCTCTTCTTAAACCATGGGCATTTACAAGAACCTTCTTGTTTTTTAACTCCACTCTTAAGCCAATTCTGTATTGTTGGAATATAAGAGAGGTAAGGAGAAAAACCATAGAGATTGTTAGACAGATATTATGTCGCTCTTCGCCTTAGAGTTACGCTTCCTTCAATGTTGGTCTGTTTGTTTTTTATTCGTTGGATTGATTTGTGGTCACTCTTGGTAAATGAAAAGATTTTTATGAGTGTTACTTAGCCAATACCCCTGTTAACCTATTTATTGCACTTGACAAGATAAAAAAAACCGAGTGGTAGATTCTTGCATAGAGTCGTGAACTGTTGCTGAACAACTAATGCAGAGATCTTAAGAGTAGACAACGTAACTTTTCTGCACGTTATGAATATTGGTTTGGGCTTCCGTCTCCTTTCTGTAGTCTGAAGCAGTGATTTCCAGTGCCATTTTTCAGGCAAGGAACAGTGTATTCAGTATGTGTTTAAGTTTACTGTAAACTTGGTTTCCATAACCAACACAATCTCGCTTGCAAACGTTCTAGTGGCTCATTAAGGTGTTTTTATCATTAAAATGTTACCGAAGTAAAAGTACAGTTTGATGTGCAATATTTACAACTGATCTTGATAATGTAAATTGTATGACTTATCTATAAACGTATTATAGACGACGAAGAATGTGAACTGAAACCTCAGCTGGCAGTTAGGGAGTAATGAGTTGTTGGCAGTATTTTTAACACTTCTTCAATTATGTTTATTAGGAAACTGAGTAGATAACTAAATCGAAATCATGGCAAACATTTTAAAGAAAGTGCTGTGCCAAAGTCTGCGCCTTCATTATTTGTCCTTATGTTTCGTTTCTTTTACATCTCGTAGCCCAAATTGTCTAGCTCAAACAAGCGTTGCTGTTCTTGTTTGTGCCTTTCCTGTAGAGCTCGGAAGTTCTTTTCCCAGTTCTTGCGGAAAGCTTTAAGCTCATCTTCCATGGCTAACAGCTCTGCACTTTGAGCGGCCATGAGTCGCTCCGTGTGCTCGCCACAGTTTGACGAAGTATTCCTCTGGTGACCGTTCACTTCCAGATTTGTCTTTACTGTCTTCTGGTCAGGTTTGGAGACGTCTTGTTTTGCTGACAAAAGAATAGGACAAGAATGGCTTTTGTATATTTTCGGCCAGGTTAAGTTGATGTGAAGTTCCTACAGAACTTGAACAACCGGTTAAAATTACCTATTTTATCCATCAAAATAAACTACACAGTCGAATAATTATCGCAAAAATTTTTAAAGATGTTCATTTCCCAACAGCTACATGAAAAGCAGTGTCTGATAAATTTGTACGTTTTTATTAATAATTTTCTTTTATTTACGTGATTTTATTTAGAAAGCGTGGGATCGTCACGCGCGCAGACTTGATGTCCTAGTAGATAGATATCAAGGAACGGCTTTCAACTTTCTCTATAAAGTGAACTTGTAGATTCAATGCTCGGTCTGTAGACATCTTTATGTTAAGGAAAAAAGGAAAGTTCTTGGCCAAAACTATATAAAGAAATATATGTAGACAACTCCCGTATGTATATGCGGGAAATTGCTGACGCTAAATGCGATTCCAAACAAACATTTTTGTTTTCCTACTCTCTCTGCAATGGTCAATTTGTGTGAATTGAATAAAAAGCTCGTTCTTTGTCGGCTCGAAATGTTTACGTTGGCGCAGATTCTTAACCCATGTTAGATGACTACGAAACAAAATAAACCAGTCTATTAAAAGTTGGAAGAAATTTGAAATCTTGAAGTAAAGATTGACAACAAATATTTAACTGCAGTAGTTTACCTTTCCGATTTTGAATTTCTTGCGCCTTCTTTTCCCGCGGGTAATACTGCCAGAAAAGACCAACAGCTAAGGCGAGCAAGAACAACCCAAACATGCCATAAACTGCGTACCCAAACAGGTTACCATCAAAGTAGTCTGCACCAGAGCTTGAATTGTCACCGCCATACTGAAAAAAGAGGAGGGATAAAAATACTACGGCTCAGCCGAACGCATTTTTTTCGAATTGGGAGAATTTTGCTTGAAAGGTATTCACGATAATTGCAGCTTGTTTTCCCAGGCTATAGAGAACGTTAACGATCTTTGATCAAATAATTGTAACACATTCCTTTTCTTATTATTGTTTTGCTTAAAGAGGCTCAATGTAGTTTCTTTTCGTGATCAGTAGAACAACAGATTTTCATCAATTGCCTTAATAATGGTATAAATGAATTAAGATCTTTCCCCAACGCAAAAAAGCGAAGTTACTGCAGACACTGTGTATCCTAAGAAAAATACCCCATATTTTTGTCTTTATGCACCTGTTACCCAAAAACGAAATTCTAAGACGTCCATTAGTTATTGTTGAGTGTAGTTGCATACAGCATATCAGAACCAGGCACATCTTACTGCATGCAAAATTTTAAACATCTAATCGGTTTAATCGTGAATATACACGTACCATTATTATTTATTTATGTTCCCCATTAGGCGCTCGACCTATCTAACGCAAACCTCTGCTGATTGTCTCTTTAAAAAAAGTACTCCACAGAATTGAATAACAATACCTGTTTTGTTTTGCTGAACTTTTCCAAAATCTCGTGTATTTCCAACTGATGGTTCCCTTGGTAACTCAGGAAACACGATCTTAGGGCCGCGTTAGTCTTGGGTAACACTGCTCCGTAAATGACAGGCTCACCCAGGACTGTGGCCACATATAACTTGTATGTATTGTAATATTCACTGTGCTGAGTAGTGCTGAAAATATCTACTAAAGCTAACACGGTCTCCTCGCTCTTGACGCTCTTGTACAACTCGTCGTAACTTGTTTTGACTAAAACGAAAAAGAAAGTTTATTACTGATGAAAATGCTCTAAGCATAGGACAAATGATGCTCCTACAATACATAAAAGTATCCTTAATTGGATCGATCGTTCGTTCACTTCCATCATCTAGGCAATTGTTTTGAGTGTTATTACCATGCATCACAATTTCAACGCATGTTTTCGGTTTTATTTTATAAGTATTCTCTAAAACCCGATTGATTTTAAACACCGCTATTAAGAGATATCAATCAAATTTTACTGTTTAATGCCCTTTGATATTACATTCCAGTATCCAAAAACCCGCCTATGGACGCCGCCATTTTTGGAAACAGCTTAGTATCCTAGCCACACTCGCAAAACCACAACGCACGGTTCACAAACAACTGCTGTTCTGATCGGAACAAAAAAACCTTATTTGACCAAGAATCCCCTTCACGTAGCTTCTTACATTACTCAAGCCACTGCATAGAAGTAGAAAAAGGAGTAACGAAACTTTGGTACGTCACAGATGACAGGCCAGATTGCTAGGTAGGATTCAAAACAGTGACACCGAATTTACCAAAATTTGAAGACAACTTTCGAACAATTAGGTTAAGCCTATTGTTTTCAGCTCAATAAAAGATCAGCCCCCAGATATCTCTTGTTGTCACTGTGTTCATTTATACTTCATTCGCTTTTCAGAACTGAAAACGTTAAAACTGCACAGCGTACGCAATGGTCAAACAACGTGACAACCAATCACTCTTAAAATTGTAGCAGAGGAAGATTCGGGTACAGCAGCTGTGCATCGATCGAGATTGCAAAACATGTAAATCTAAAGAAATCTGAACTTACCGTGCACCTCAGCATTTTGTAAAATAGCTAACTGTTCCTCAGCAGAGCCATTCAAAACCGCCACCTGAGAAACCATTGAAATACTCATCAGGATTTGCAAAGTTGAAACTGATTCTCCTACGCCTTTCTTCTCTGCTTGTTTGCCTCTTTTTTTTCCTCGCAGTAGCTATTCACGGTCACAATGAAACAACTGTAGTTTTATTCCATTCTGGAAGTGCTCTTTCGCTCAAGAAGTTGCAGCCTTTTCGGACCTCAATTCGCATAAAACGCTCATTCAAGCATTCTAGTAACCATGAACTGATTGACCAATTAGTACTTCCCATTAATATGTTCAGTCAGTGAGTGAAATCAAAAACAGAAGATCACTCTTTCAACCCCTTAACTCTCAGAAGTAATTAAAACGTAAGTTCTCCCAATATCATCTAAACATTATCCAGCAAACGAGTAATGAGAATACGCAAACTGATCAGGTTGAAATTGCTATATTGATTTAACAGAAATTCTCATGACTAATTAACAATGAAATGTGCAGAAGCTAGAGGGGAGAATCAACAATCAGATCTTGGGAGTTTAAGAGTTAACACCTGTCATGCGACCCTGTCTAAAGCTATTATTTGACACCATCATGTGTAACTTTCAAGTGCTAACAAGTTATCCGTAATGACGTTGGTGGGAGAAAGAAAAAAGTCGGAACACCTACTTACTGGCATTCCATATAGGTTGTTAACTTGTTCAAGACTGTTACTGCTGAGAGATGCTGTTATTATTCCCATAAAGATAGCGAGGATAACAAGACCAACATTAATCCATACCACACCAAAGAGGCGGCCTGCAATACTACGAGGAACTTTATCACCGTAACTAGAAAAGGAAGAGCAAAAGAAATGAAATGAGAGTAAACTTCATGTACAAATGTACGTATGAAGGAGATTATCGCCAAGTCATTATCTTAAGATAGTTACCTGTACTTTGAGGCTTAAAACCAAACTAAATAATGGGGCTAATTTTTATAATGTTAAATAAACCATCAGCTAGTTGTTATTCTGTTACAATTTGCTCGGCATGTATGCCTAAGAAACTTAGTCAAATATGACTATGAATCCAATGAAAACAGGGGCCTCTTTAACGCTACGTTGTATTAAATTGATAGTCGTGTATCCACTCGACCGAAGACGCTAACGAAGAAATCTCCGTTTACAGAAGAACCTTTTCAGATGGGTCACCCTAAGAACATAGGGAACTGGCTGTTGTACATTGGTGATCATAACGAGGAGATACAATGTGCGTTGGCAATCAGTGGCAAGTGGTGGGTTCGAACGTCCTGCCAAAAACAGAGTAAGATCACTTTCAAATAAAATGCCCTTGCGTTAGCACAAACAAGTTTTTGTCTCGTCACAAATACTTTTGGTGTTCATCTCTATCTACCTCAGCAAATTGTAACTTCATAATTTTTTATTCTTTGTCTTCCCTAGCATAATCTTGCAAGCTACGTACCCAACTGTTGTCATGGTGACAGCAGCCCACCAGACTCCTTCGAATACGCCTATTGGGAAAAACTTTGGGAATTCCTCAGAGTTTTTACGATTGTCCTGGAGGATACATAATGTGTGACCAACATTAAAACATACTTGAGTTTATATAGCACAGTAAAGTTATAGTCATTAGTAAATGAACTGAGAGACGACTCATTATAGATTCATAATTCAATTCCAAGGGCTTACGAATTACAGAACTTGATAGTTCGCGAGCAGATCCTGTTTAAATACCTTATGGCAGCTAAGCAGCACTTTCCTACGGTTACAAACTTCACGTGACCAAAATATATATAAAAATAATTTTGCCACAGCAAGCTGAACAGCTGAGGTGGACTCTATTTTGTAGATTCGTAAAGATTCGAGATAATCTGTATGATCAACAAAAAGCTACTTAGTTCTACTCAAAACTAGCTTTACTCTTAAGAATCTTATCGAAATGTCCATGTTGCTGTGTAACATAATTTGCCCTTGATGTAAAACTAATTGAGCCAATTAAGACCAATTCTCTTACCAGAGCCCACATGACAATTCCACTGAGAGATAACGACATCCCAATGAAAATCACAATTGGCCAAGAATCCAAAATGGCGGCTAGAAGTTCTTCGCCTGGAATACTCCTCTGTACCACAATAGCCATTCCAGGCGAATGAACTGAGCCTACAAAAGGACGTAGAAATATCGATTTCTCGAGGCCGACTCTCCGTCCCACAGGAATAATGATCTCTTCTGAGTACTGATCGATCGTAGTTTTCAGTGATTTGGGATACTCGATAAGCTTGGCCGAAATATTGGGACTCTTGTGGCAACAAGCCTTGAAAACGATGCGAAGGATTTCTGGTATAGCACCAGAGATTTCACCTCTTTCCTTGTCCTCGAAAACGTAAGGCTTTTGTTCCCAGTAAACAAGATCCAATGATGTTTTTCCTGTAGAACATTCATTTTGCATGTTAGATGTTGCCAAACCTATTCTTAATAAAGAGAAAACTGAGAGTATGGAAGTCAAACGATCAGAAAAACTCATCATGTTAACAGTTATCAAAACGATATAGTTGGAGTAAACGCCAATACTTGAAAATGTGAACATGAATTACTCTTCACAGCTGTTTTTCGTTTAAAACAATAACAAATCCTTCATTTAACATATCAATAGATATTATCTTTGTTTTAACCATACATTCCCGTATTTTCGTAGTGTTTTAAAGGATAACAATATTTGCAACAATTTCAAACAATTTTAATTTCACCTTCACCTCTCGAGAAGAATTGGAACTGATCATTTCAAATGATCATTTCATCACTTGATTTAGTACAAGCCTTTGATTTCCTATTTTTAAGTGGGTTTTTTTGTGGGATTTTAAACAATAGTTTCTCTCCATCAACATATGTAGACGTCGACTTGATTAGAGGAAATTGTGGTTTTGTCTTTCAACAAAGTATACAATAGGCTGAGCTTAATTACACACTTAACAGCTTTTTTTTCCATATTTTTATTTCTTATTGAATATGTTGTCAAATCAAATCAATTACACACGCCGCAGTCTGTAATGATATTCATTGCTAAGAAGGGCTTTAGATACACTGATTAGGTTATGTTATCAATACCAAAAGACTTCCCCAACAACAACTTTTAAAACAAAAAAATATATAGGTTTATATTTGATATAAATATGAATCACACTGCATCTACTTTCGTTGTCAAAGGGGGAAAAGATACTACAACTTAAAGATACCATGCTGAAATTTTGCATAGCTTAAAATATGTCTCCGTTAGTGTTAAACGTATCGGTATGCTAGATTTTTCTTTTCCTCGCTATGATAACCAGCTATGAAAAATTCATGATGAAGCAGACTATTATCCAATGGAGAAAGTGATACTTTCACCACAATTTCTTGATGTATAGGACTGTAAGTGAATACAAATCACTCGCCAAAAATACACTGTAACTCTACTGGAAAATGCGATCCAACAGTAGGATGGTAGATAGATCTTCTTTTCTTGTCTACAAAACTGCGAAGAAATCAAAAGAACAGGTTTTAGTGCCATGATATCCCATTGAACTTACTCCGACACAGTAATTACCGTACGTGTCATTATTGTACAAGTGACAACAGAGACAGGAAAATATCAAGAGAAAATAGAGGACATTTTCAGACATAATCGGACTCGTTGGTACCGCTCATTCCAATTGAATTTTTCCCTTCACGCCTATTGTGAAATAATAATCGAAAGACGTGTTTATTGAGTTCGCAACGCCATGATCAGAGAGAGAAAAATGATGAAACATATTGCAGTGATGTTCTTGTTTATAGACAACGTCTTCTTAGCGAACGCTGTCACCGTCGACCACAAGTGCAGCACAGGAGGGCGGCTGACTGTGTTATGGTGGGGCCAGGAGCCGTATATTTACAAATTTGGGGACAAGCAGGAAGATAACTTAAAATCAAAAGTAGATGCACCGGCGTCTATATCAGGGATGTTTCCATTAATCTTGGACCAAGCCCTTGAACGTTGTTGTAAAAGCAGCACAACACTGAACTACACGCAGGTCCCTGAAGGTCCTGCTGGCTTAGATCAACTTCTGGCCGCCGAAGACTTTGATCTCATTTTACCCGTGGGGGCAGAGGTTGGAGCAGGAACTGTTCGTCAGTTCTCGTTCACTGGGTTGCTTGAGTCCCCTGGAGTTGCAGTGCTTATCAAGGGAAACGTGTCTGGGGCTCAGTTATTGCTGTCTGTTCTTCAAGGCTGGCCCATCCTTGTGTTCATTCTCATTTCTGCCTCGCTCGCCGGAGTGGTTATCTGGTTATTTGTAAGTAACAATATGTCCTACTGCTTTGATTGATAAGCCGAATAATTCGTGCAAAACTGACATGGCGGTAGAAAACGTCGCCGTTGCCTTTTAAAGATCATGGTTTAGTGTAGACACTTAAAAAAATGGGCGGGTGGAAAGTGACTGGAATCAAGCTGCCTTTTTTTCGATGATCCATTAAGCGTGGGCCCAGCACGGCGCACTAACACTACCCATATCATGGGGTTGTCCGGATCATCGATTTTTTTCGGTCATTGGCTCTGGTCCAAAATTTTGATTTTTCACTTAGAATCAAATCAAAACTCAGTTGTTTAAGGTCATCTAAGCAGGGCTCGATGTTTCGTTATTATTTCGCCTCAGATATCGATTCTCTTCTTGTTTACTGGACGAGGTGGTTTTTCACTGACAATCCACGTACAACTCAAGCAAACGAACATTTTTGTCTAAACGTTAAATTGAAGAAGACATATTTAGTTTCATCGTTATGAATAAAAAGTTTGACCACATTTTCCTTTCTCAGGAACGGAAGGAGAATACAGAGCAATTTCCCGAGTCATTTTCCCATGGTGTGTTTGAAGGATTCTGGTGGGCTTTCATAACTATGACAACTGTTGGGTAAGTACTCGTGCGAACAGAATAGATAATCCTCGTCCAAATCAACCAGGTGCACTTAAAATAACGGGAAAAACGGGATTAATATTGTTAGCAATTGAAAAGCTAAGAACCTTTGTTTTGTTAGTTGTTACACTACGCAGTTAAATCGTGAGAAGGCGATTTTTTTTAATCTGCGAACCGTTCTTTCGCTGAAACACCATCATGTAGTTTCCTTGCGTTTGAAGGCCGTTTATAGTTGCAAGCTCAATTACAACGAATTGATGACCTGCGCTAAAGTTTGGAGAACACGAAATATATTTTGACTAAACCAAAAAACAGTTTTATTGCGAATCCATTGTGCTTTGCATATCTGCATTTGCATTGCTCTCAAAGAAAGGCTCACTCAAGAAAAGGCTAACTTTAACTAATCGCGACTCCATATACATGTTTTACAAAAAGTTCTAGAACATTCCAGAGATCTGTAATACAACTATTTTTAGTAACATTACATTGCTATTACATAATAAGAAATTATGCTGACTAAGGGTTCTAGGAAGTTCCATTAAGAGTTGTCAATGAGTCAGCATGACTAAGCGTTCTAGAAACTTCTTCAATTCTATATTTAGTAATTCCGTAACACAACGCACTCTCCATAACAGAAGCCCAAACATGTATACCACATCATCCATGCCTAAAACATAAGATTACTTGATAAAACTATGGCTTGACACGAGAGGAAAAGCTACTTGAGTAAAGTTAGTTAGGAGCCAAATTTCTTTTAGCGTTTGATGGCCATTTATAGTTACACGCTCATCTACAAGTAAGTCAGCCGTCAACAAATCTCGTAACCCTCATGCTGGCGTAAGTGAGACCTAAGATTGGGAGTAAGTTGTATTGTTAAGATGCAAGGAGCTACATTCTGAGTGAACCGAGTGATACCGCCCTCAGCTGAGCAAATTTAAGACTCTTGCCGCTCAGCAGACGAAATGCATACAGTTGAAGTACTGCTATGTCATGATGATAAAATGGCTGAGGTATTGTGCGAGTCTTGTGCCATTACTGCAAAAAAGTACTTTCTATCTCCTTAGACCTTATACCTCTTGTGCATCTCAACCACAAAACACAACAAATCAGAAATCACCAAGGAACGTAACAAGATTTTAGAGGGTGGATGAAGAGATGAGCTCTTGCTTAAGGGAATAAGTATTAATATATTACTTGATGTTGAAGTTATGAAGAGGAAAATATTGGCAGCTACAAGAAACTATAATGAAAATGTTCCTGCTTGAAACGTTTGACAAAAGAACAGAGCATCTTCAATGTTATCCGTCATTTTAGTTGTCATTGCTCAAATTTTACTAACGAGTGATCTTCAAGTGTTATAAGGACCAGTCAGGGTGAAGGTTCCTAACGGATTCGTCTCTGCCAGGTGATGAAGATGAAAGCAAAGTTCTTTCCTGTCAGCACATTTTAAGTTCGTGGGCGTCGAGTCATTGAATATATATGTATGAAATAAATTGATAACCTTTATTATTGTTTTCTGTCATCTCTAAGATGCATGCTGGAGGCTATTACAAGAAAGAATAACATCTAAAGAAAGTAAAATTGTAATAGTTTTTGTACAAATATTGATTTTCTTTTGCCTTTATACATATTCTTCCTATGTCCTCAGTATTTCATTAAAACGATTCGAAATTTCATTCAAAACAATAAAGTGAGCTTCGCTCACTTGTTCGTTTTTTGTTGATGCATTGCAACTCGTGAATAAAAATCGTTCGTCCGCTCTTTCCATGGAATAATCTCTATTTATTTAAGCAATAGACCATACTTCCTATCGGTTAACAGTTTGATGACCGTCATTATCATCTGAAACTTTAGGTTTGTTTCAGATTTAACATTAAGCTTACGAGTGCACTATTTGTGGCCGTATCTTTTGTCTGAAGGGATTATGCTCTTTTATTAAGAACACATAGGCTTAAACTATCGACCCTTGGCTGAATGTCGCAACGCGAAACTTGAAATCATTGAAAATGGCTCAGAGACAATTATAATCATTTTCTGTGGATGTGTAAGGATGTTTTGGCCACCAACAGCTTGTTAATTACCGGGTGACAGAGAGGAAAGTTTGTGTAGGCACAGAGTAGAAGGAGTTTAAATTCTACCACCTTGTTGACATTCAGTCACTTTTGCGTAAAGTTCACATAACAGAAATGAAAATAATACATTACTCGGTACTTTGAAACGAGAAAGGTCTTCACAACAGCAGATGTTTTATTTCTGATACTGATAAAAAGCCAATAGTTTTTGGTTTATTTTTGTCTTTCCATCCTTGATAAGACACATTTTAAGCGAATTGTGGCTAAATGACAACAAGAATTCGGTTTTTTTTTTTTTGCTAACAAAGCAAATTCAGTATAGGTTGGTTTGTTTCAAGGCTGACTTAAATAACCCACACACACCTCAAGGAACGTATATGTATAAAGGCAAAAGAAAATCAATATTGTGTAGAAGTTATTACAATTTTACTTTCTCTAAATGTTATTCTTTCTTGTAATAGCCTCCAGCATGCATCTTAGAGATGACAGGAAACAACAATAAAGGTCATCAATCTATTTCATATGTACATATTTAATGACTCGACGCCCACGAACTTAAAATTTGCTGACAGGAAAGAACTTTGCTTTCATCTTCATCACCTGGCAGAGACGAATCCGTTAGGAACCTTCACCCTGACTGGTCCTTATAACACTTGAAGAGCACTCGTTAGTAAAAGTTGAGCAATGACAACTAAAATGGCGGATAACATTGAAGATGCTCTGTTCTTTTGTCAAACGTTTCTAACAGGAACATTTTCATTTTGGTTTCTTGTGGCTGCCAATATTTTCCTCTTCATAACTTCAACGTCAAGTAATATATTGATACTTATTGCCTTACACAAGAGCTCATCCCTTCATCCACCCTCTAAGATCTTGTTACGCTCCTTAGCGATTGCTGACTTGTGTGTTGGGTTTGTTTTGGAGCCAGTATTTGTCGCATACTTAATGTCGGTACATTATGGGAACTGGAAAGTGTGTTTTCCGTTGGTTCATCTCTCGGCTGTTGTCGAAATGCTTTCCTGTGTAGTATCTTTACTAACGATGACCGCAATAAGTGTGGACAGGTTGTTTGCCCTGTCACTGGGTGTGAGGTACAGACAAATAGTCACTTCTAAACGCGTGGCGTTGGCCGTTCTCTGTCTTTGGACCGCAAGTATTTGTGCATCAGCCTCGGTATACTGGACTTTTGATATCATTGGATATTATAGCGTTACGGCTTTCACATTAGGTTTGACAGTTTCAACTTGCTGTTACGCAAAGATATATCAAAAGCTCCTTCATCATCAAGTTCAATTACAAGGCAGTGTTCCTGGCAGAGCTGCACCATTAAACATCGCGCGATACAGAAAAACAGTGTCCAGTGCATTGTGGGTATATTTTACATTAGTTGTGTGTTATCTCCCAGCAGGCATAGTTACAGGTTTGGTTGTGATTCACCCTGGAGAAACCAGGGCACCGAATCTTCTGCTTGCGTGGGTAATGACATTTACACTTTCTTTTTTGAATTCTACGCTTAATCCAGTTTTGTACTGCTGGAAGATCACAGAACTGAGAACAACAGTCAAGGCCACAGTGAGACAGATGTACCGCTAGAAAATAGTATAAGTATTTTAATCCTAACAGTAATAAGCATCTAATGTCTCCCCACAGTATCACTGCTGAGTCTAGCTCAAGTCTTGAGAATAAAGGAAATGATCATCACCCTAAGAAGCTCTTCTCCTAATACTCTTTTACAATATCAGACGAAATGTATACAGAACAGTATTGAGAATCCGCCAATTGATGTTGGTGACTGAAGGGTTACGGTTATAAGCTTACATACCACAGATGCTTTTTTTCGGTGGGCCATCTCAACATAGCTTGAAAAAGTAATTCTGTAATAAGAAGTTGCTCAGCTAATAAATATTTGCACCAAATAAAATTATTTATTATACTTGAACATTTAGACTTAACGGTCACTTCTCGTCACTTCTGTGGCTGTTTTTGGTTGAAGGAAACAGATTGTCAAACAGTCGTACTTTTACGACATGGTTTGGTCATGTCTGTCACAGCGTTTTGCCTTATATTTTGTACTGAAGCTCGGAAGATATGTTTATGGCCATTTTAAAGCAGTGTAGGGTAAAACTGATGCAACCAAGCAACTCGCCTACAGCAATGAATCTTGTTTTTCTCCGTATCCTAAGAACTGTAAACATGCAGTTAGAAGGTTATTACTGGCAAATCTTAAACTGTTGTTACTCCTACGCGAATGTTTCGAACTGACTAGGTTCAGTTTTGCAAAAATTAATACTGAACGGCCAATTTGAAATAGAAATGACGCTGTTTATTTTTTCTGTGCTTTATGTTGAACAATGCGAGCGTCATATTCAATGTGAAGCCAAAAATCTAAGTAAAAATTATTGAGAACGCCTACACTGTCAAATAATAAAACGAAACCAAGACAAAAAGTTTTCCTCTTTATACAGCAACATAATAGACTTACAGCAGACTATAACACTCAGCTACACTCGGTACATAATTAAACATTATCGCTTATTTGCTCTTTTCTCCGGCTATGTATATCCGGGTTTGATCACTCAACAAGCAATACCCATATAATTTCCGGGCACCCGAATGATGAAAAACCTGTCTCAAGCATGCTACAAAATAATGACAGTGCAGGTTGGATGGCGCCTAGAGAGGAAACGCTTTTAATTTTACATCGACGTTGGTCCAATATTTCGTATCAAGATCGATCAAGAGATTATAGACAGTTCTTAATCTCTTAGATAGATTAAATAAATAATCAGGATTTTCCCTCAAGCAAGCAAAGCCTTAATAGCTTTTCTCTCATTAAAACAAAGTAGGCGAAGAATCCAACATCAAATCATGGCTCGTGAATCATGCAAAAATGCTGTGGCTTAACAAAGAGTTTATAATGTTTCGCCTGCAAAGTTGTTTTGCAACTGAAATATCTCACTTTCAAGACAATGGATTTTACAGTTAAGTGATTGTGAAACCACTTTAAATTACGGTATCAACGAGCGCTTTCATTAAATTTATTTATTCTTGTTTTCTCGTCACCTTATTCCCACCAATAACGTAGCTCCATTTTCTGCATATAAACCCAAACACAACCCACAATTCCTCTAGTCGCTCTGACGAAGGGCTAACGCTCGAAAAGTCAGCTTTTAAACTCTTTACGATGGCAAATTTACGTTATCAACTTAGTTGATAATACTAAATTACAAAGAAATATTATATTTACATATCCATGATAAGAATGCTCACTCTTAAGAGTAAAAGAGTTTAAAATATGCGCTTTCTTCCCAAACTCTTCTTAATAAGTCGATACTAAGACACTGCATGTGAGGACTGTAACGATAAATTTAGGTTAAAAAAAATTTTTATACTCCAACATAAAACGAGCAGTTACATGTTCGAAAGCCGCGAAGTAACTGACAACCCCGTATGCGCATATTATTATAAGAACATTAGTTGCGCGCTCGTTGGGATTAGTTCATGTGATTAGTTAGTATGTTCCTCCCTTAAACTTAGAGCCCGGTATTTTATGCCACATACTTGCAACAATATTTTGTCACAAGGACACTCAAATTAACTAGAATTATTTAGGTTTCGAGTGTTAAGTCTTCGTCAAAGCGAAATATTTGCTCTGACATCCGCTCAGAAACTCTTATTAGTGGCCAATTATGTGAGAGTAGTCCTGAAAAGGACTGTTGTCGGTAAGAGTGACTGACGCTTTAATAACCTGAGCGGCAGTCATCATCAGAGTCAAAAGGAGAGTTGTTGTCGGTTTTGTTGTCGTATGAATTGGATTTATTGACTCAGTCGACAATCGATAAAATGAAATTACCTAACGCTAATTGCAAAGTACTCGTGGAAAAATCGTTTTAAATACTGCTATTTCGTTCGCTGGATAAAAAAAACATCATGCAAAACGACATTATTGAGTTATTACTCTCAGCTTTACAATGGTTAGTTAAAAAATATCAAAATGGAGTTTGAGTAATAATCGTGCAGGGTTTCATTAGAAGTCAATTATTACCAATGGTCTACCGCCGCCTGTGAGACTTCTTACCGCAGTCTCAGTTTAGCTTACGTGCAGGCGCTCGTGCTTGGGTTTCGCCTCAAGGCTCCTTTTTGGGCAAAGTTGCGCATCATGCGCCAATGGCACCTTCTTATGGAAAAATTTATGGAGACCCCTGAAATAATAGCTAATTATTTGCTGCAATTTTAAGGTAAACAAACATTGTAAAGCGTAATGATGAATCTATATTTTAGGTATGGAGATTTGGCGCCCAAAACAATTCCTGGGAAGCTTCTGGGTCTGATATGGATGTTAGCGGGTCTTATCATCATTACCATGTTCATCAGTATCATCACAGCAGCATTGACCAATGTCAGTCTGCTAGGACGGACCAACCTTCGAGGGGTCACGGTAAGTACTGGGACTGAGTTCGACCTTGGTAAGAAGAGGCTAATTCGTTGTAGATGGTACAAATTACTTTCTTACTTCATCATACTTCGGTAAAACTGGAGAAAAATTGAATTAACTTTATTTAAACACGAAAGCCATGAGCTAATCAGTTTGATTACTGTCAAATGTTACCTTCGTTAAATAAAGTCTACAACTACTACGACTGCATTAAACTTTAGCTCAACAGAGAGTTCGTGTTAAGATGGATTTTAGTCAATTACAATAATAGTGAAGAGAAAGATTGGTTATAGATAAAGATGTTTAAAAAGCTTTTGATAAGAGGGTGAGACGAAGAAGAACCCTGAGTCTCTCCAGTGAGGATTTTTGCCTCGATAAGACTTTCCGATTTTGACGACGTATTCCCTAATAACCGAAACACTTAGAATAAAGGAGAGAAGTTTCTAAAGAAACTGTGGTGCTGCGTTAGTGTTGGGGTATAGCAAGATAATTTTGGTATTAATGATGATAACGTAAAGAGTTTCAAAGCTGACGCTTCGAGCGTAAACCCTCTCGTCAGAGCCAATGGAGAAATTGTGGGTTGTGTGTGGGTTTATATGCGGAAAATGGAGCTACGCTATTGGTGGGAACATAGTGACGAGAAAAACAAGAATAAATTAGTTGAATGAAAAGCGTTCGTTGATACCGTGGGGATTAAGAGTGCCGATTTGAAATATTAATTTTGTGAAAGAGTTGGAGGCTTTCCGAACTTTCTGGATGTAAGGAAAGGCCGCAAACTGCCATATGCTGCTTAGAATGAGTAAGGAGATTAAAGTGTCTGCAACTGGTTTGGATGTGTCCTTGTCGTTCCTATCTACGTCGTGGTGTTCTCAGAATCGGTCATCAGGTCGTCTTCCTGTTTCACCAATGTATAACTTTTTGCAATAAGTGTAAGTTATGCAATAGCTGACATTGGCAGAGGATCACGTGAAGTGATTAGTGATCTTAATGGATCACTTTGGTCCTCGGATATTTTCTCGACGTTATGAATGAAAGAACAAGTTTTGCATCGTGAGCGTGCGCATTTGAAAGTTCCATTGAGGTTGGTCATTGCTTTGTAATGAACTTTTGTACAAAAAGTTACCTAAGTTTTAGTCACGTTTGAATTAAATAAGTGGAGGTTGCGAAAAGATAGGGCGTCCAATAAATTCATCGATAGTCAGCCCTACAAACATAATAGAAGGAAAATACCGATCGCATTCCATTCACTCTCAAATTTCACCCTCACAACCACGCAGTTAAATGCATCATTCTTAAAAACTTTAGATTACTTCAAAATGATTCAGAGACTGGTATTATCATTTTGCAACCTCCACGGTTTTTTATTTAAACGTGACAAAAACGTAGGCAACTTTTTGCTCAGAAGTTCATGACAAACTAATGACCAACCTGGAACTTTCAGGGTCAGTTCTGTTATTGATACTAAGTTCAAATGTAAAAATTGTCCAGTACACTGCCGGATGCTAACTGATCACCGAATAACATTCAACTGTACATCAAATAAATTGTATAGTAGCGGTAGGAAGGTGTTCAAGAAACTGCCTAATGTCGGGCAAATCGGTATAGAAAGCACCATTAAGTTTGAAACAACACCCAACGGATTCCAAGACGGACAGTACCACGATAAAAAGGTCTGTAGCCAGGCTTTGGAAAAGTTAGTTTGCTGGCTGATTTTGTGGTGAGTCAAGGTATCAAGAATAGTGAAGTTTTTAGAATGAAGCAGCAACGGTTGATACGTTGAGTATCAAGCAGAATGTTAATTGATATTTTTTTGAAAAGAGGGGAGACCACGTCATGAAAATTGGATTATTCACTACACAATGCATCGAAAAACGAGACCGCAAGAATGTACAAGTCGATTAAGATAAGTTGGGAGAAAATACCATTTATGAAGTTTTTATGCCTTGTAGTAATTAGTGAAGTTAGACTAATGAAACTAATCTATCCCTAATTGACTTTCATGGCAGATTTCAGTCGTTAATCACAGCGAGGAACACAAGCTTGGAATTCGAGAAATTGCGAATGTTGAAGGTAAACAACAGTGTTAATTATCTGATTTGGGCTTTGAAACATCTCTGTATTTCTCTATTATCATTTTTAAATTCTTTTGCATAACTCATATCTTGAAAAACCTCCTGTAATTTGCCCTTCAGTTTTCAAGGAGACGGTTGTAAAAGGTCACGAAACTAAAATCGTGCGTGTTAAGAACAAAATAATTAATGGTAAATTTTTTTCGTAAGAACGATCGCTGTCTAATCGAGGGATACAACATTAATTTTAACAAACATTCAAAATAATTTGCATTATTATTATTATATTATTAAGTTCACGTATTTTTATTCAAAATTTTTTCCGCATTTACGGTTCACTCGTCGAAGACTGCAGTTCAGGCAGTCGAAAGCTCGTACTTTCTTAACGTGATCGTTCTGGCCAGAGATCGTTCTTAAAAAAATACCATGTTTTACCCTGGCTGCGGCTCTTTTATATTTTCAAAATAATTAGTGTTAACAGATACTAGCTGCCTTCAATCGATTCCTTCCTTCTCTTTTATATTTCTGTTAGAAATGCTTTGATGATGCACAACTTAGTTTTGACATCCGCAACAGTTAAGGAGCATGTGCGTGTGTTATTCTGATTCGTTCATAAGTTTACCTATAACTTAGTTTCTTTTCGTTTTTGATTCAGTTTTTTATTTTGTTTGGAACCTTTGTCATGAAACTAACACGTATGGGTTAGAGGACGGAAATAATCAGTTGAAACAATAAAGCGACGAAAATTACCTCATTAAACTTCGTTAATTTTTTTCTCCGCCAAAGAACTCTGAATATTAGAACTATCTGCTGATGACATTTCCAGGTGATGTGATTAGGATCTTTAAAATAATCAGATTCAGAGACCGAAACGCTGGCTAAGCGACACCATTTCCAATTTCAAACAATGACCCGAAACAAATGAAAATTACATCATTGTTCTTAAAAGATCAATTAAGATAACGAACTCGAAAAATAATGCGCACAGACGATTTTTTTAAAGTTTCTCATCTATTCATGTTTTGCATAGGTCTTAGGCTCTTTCTATCTCAGTTTATTTCTGTCTCTTTTCCTTCCACTCTATAGGACCGAAAAAAATCGCGTTATTGTTATGGTGACTGTTTGTTACGTTAGTTCAAAGTATAAAAAAAGAAAAAGTACAAAGGAACAGGATGAACGAAATCAAAATAAATCTTTGAACCAGATTTGCGCAAAGCTGTTGTTACGTTGTTGGTATCCTTCCTTTCTAAGTGAACAGGAAGGAAAAAGGTGTTTCAACTGTTCGGGTTCAACCAATCATTCATGTTTGCTGTTGGGCATTGTTTCAGAAATGATGAAAAAAACAAGCAGTGCATCGAACGAGACATCGTCTGGGAACCTAAAACATAGATTGGCGTGCCGTTTGTACCGAAATAATGATCTTGTTTGCGATCATCTATGGTTTAAATGCAATAGTGGCGTTTGTAGGAAATCTCTTCGTCTTACTTGTGGTAGCAATCTACAACCGTTTTCACAAAAAAAGATACATTTTGTTGGCCAGCTTAGCACTTTCAGATTTGCTCTTTGCCATACTGGTGGTCAGCAATCGCGCCGCCGCCAATGCTCTTGAGCAATGGCCTTTTGGAACCACTTGGTGCCTTGGAAACGCGTTTATTGTCAGACTTCTTCACTTAACTACGGTATTCCATCTTTGTGCGATATCTCATGAAAGATACACTGCCATCGTCAGGCAGCCATTAACCTACATTGACAACTTCACCAAGATGAGAATGTTTCTCTATCTAACTTTTTTATGGTTTTTACCGGCGGCTATATCCCAAGGTCCGTTCATCGGCTGGGGAGACTTTACTTACAACCCAGGAATATTCACTTGCGAGCAGCATTGGGAAACAACTTTTCCTTTGCTGATATCTTCTTTTCTCATTCCACTGATCTTAATAAGCTTCCTAAACTACAAGGTTCTCAAAGTCGTCTGTCGGATTCAAAGCAGTTGCAAAGTTGTAAGTGGCCTATCCAGCATAGAAAACAAGACGGCAGATTGGTTGACCGGGCAGCAATCATGCTCCAGTAATAACCAATCTCAGAATCCCAATCAACAGCACACAAGGAAATGCAAGAGTCCAGGTGATACCAAGGGCGAAGAACATGGGCCTTTGTCTCAAATACAGAATGCGACTGTGAAGAGCTTTCTCCCTTCTCAAATGCAAGATGAAGAAAATGACCTATATTGACCTTATCCTGCAGAAACAACTCTTTTGCAAGCACACCAGGTAGGAGAAGTACTTACAGCCCAATACCGATCCAATGATGGTTCCCCGCACCGATTCCATGGAGTCCGATCGCACACGTCACCAAAACATTTACATAGTCTAGTAGATGTGCCAAAAAATCAGTCCTTTTTCAATGGCCAGAGCAACAATTGCAATGAAGCAGTAGAAATTGGATGCTCTAATGCGAAGATATCTCAGATGCACCATCAACAAACCCATCGTCATGCCGTGGCAGAACGCGAACACGACAAATTAGATGAAATAACTATCGAGATGGTCTTTGCTCAAAAAGGCCAGTCGTCACGACAACCTCAGAATTTTGGCACTCTACAAGATAACGATGGATTACAGATAGGTGGTATGAAGAGTCAGAGTCTCAGAAAGGAAAGAAAAACTGGGAGACGAACTGTTTACAAAATCACAACTAAAAATGCTGTTGGCGTAGCAACTAACGTCAATCGATCCCAAAGAGAAAGACCATCTTTAGGAGAGCACAAAATCAAAATTCCAAGCCAGAAAAAAGAGGTTTACCCCGAATGTGATTTTGAAGCAGTCAGTCACCCAGTCACTAAAGCAAAGGCATTACCTGTGCATCTACGTGAAGAAGATTGCCTAACACCGCACATCAATCGAGGAACATTCCAAGATGAGCAAGCAAAGGAACGAGAAATGCCAATGAATGGCAGTCCTTCAAATTGCCACACTTTACAAGCGCCGGCAAAAAATTGGGCAACCAAACAAAGAGAAAAGCCAGGAAAAACTGTGATGTTACTTGCTAAGCTGCTTGGAGAGGGAAAAGCCGCCTGAGATGTCATGATTATAATTGGAGCTTTTATTTTATGTTACCTTCCCCTATGGATCATGGCTTTGTACCGTTCCCTTGGTGGGTGGACTGCAGCGAAGACCACTCTATCAATCCATTACATATATTCCTTCAGCATGCTTTGTAATCCTATAATCTATTCTGTGAGAAAAAAAGGGTTTAGGAAAGCTCTGAAAAAGATGTTAAGACTGTGAAATTTATTTTCTTCGAAGGCTTAGTTGTAGCTAAGAAGACTATGCGTATTTTTACTCTCTCAATACAGTAGTATAGTTTCAAACGACTCAAAATTGATGTAAGCGCCGTTATGAACGAAATGTTTTAAAAAAACAGCTAAGTCTACAGTATCCCAGCAGTCTCGATAACAATTCGCACAATATGCAAGTTATATAATTATTTTATTGGTAAGGACGTGGTGTAGATCCGAGTGTTGTCCAAAGCATGACATTAGTTAATTTTTGCATGTTAATGACTAGTCAAGCAAATGGCGTAACACTGAAGTTTAATGAAAAATTGATACTGTTATTACTGTAGAAGAAGAAAGCAAACTGTATTGTGGCTTCAGTTGGCCGAGAGGGACGTAATCAGCACTAAAATTGTTTAGAAGTTCGGCCTGATTCATGTAAACACGTGTTGTTGATAGATAAGTAACTGAAGAGTAGAAATCTGAATACAGAAAATGAAATGCGTTATTTATGGCTTAAACAATGAGTGTTCTATGACTCTATTGCACCTATTCGTCAGTTAACATTTCGACATCATCTGGACTTAAAATTTCATCTTAGTGAAAGTCATGTGGTATTTGATTACAGACTTAATAGTTGACACACGAAGATGACCTAGTTAACTCTTTAGACCCTAACATCCCTGACATAGGTATTCATTCTCTCCACACTGTTCTGTAACATTTCTTAAGGTACTAAATAATCAAACATATGATACAAAAAAATACACGGATAGTGGGAGGTTGACTTTCGCGGTTTGTTTACATCAAAAGTCACGTGACACTACACGTGAACTCAAAAGCCTAAAAGGTGAATTGTAACTGCATTGTGACTTTGTTACTTATGCAGCTCTGAGTAACAGCGACCAAGTGTTTCAATATGTGCTGGACCGTCGAGTGGAAGGTGCATTGGTGGACGTACACGGACTCAAGCATCACATAAATGCCCTCACTCAACACAATATTCAGGTAAATCAGTAGTTAATACGAATTCTCTGTCTGTTGTCTCTTGTCTGCTGTCTTGTCTTTCGTTATTTCCATCCTGTAAAGTAGGATAATTAACAATCCCAGTAGCCATCGTGAAAACGGTGAGGATTCGGTGGTTCAAATCTGTGTCGTTTTAAGTTAACACCAACTCTGATTCCTCAATCCTACCATAATTTGAGGTCCATTTCCTCGAAAAAAATTTAGGGAAATGCCAAATTTTTGCTCGATTAAAGTTTGATTTTTTTTTTTACATCATTGGTTAACGTGGCAACGCTACAGTCTCTTAAAATTAGCGCATTTAATTTTCAGCCTTATGCGTTCTTTAACTCACACGAAAAAGAGTTTGCTAACCCCCCACTTCGTTATTGAATTCCGATCTTTCTACAAAATTTTTAATACATCTGCGTAGAGGTTTAGAGACACCCCTGAAATTTGAGTTGATTTTAGGCAATTCGTTTTCTTGTTTCGCTGCAAAATTGCAAGATAGTTCCTCCCAAAAATAAGGCAGGCTTATTCTGCCGTGATCGAACCAAAACTTTTACATATGATCACTGTCCTACAGGTTGGAAACATTCTAACGAGTCACGTTTCATATGGAGCGATCCTTGCACGCAACTCGACAGATTTTTTGAAATGCTTCAATGAATACGTTCAAACGGAAGAGCAATGGCTTTACAACATTCTGGCCGAAAATACCGGAACCACACAGGTAGGTTTGACAAAGGAAGCGGCAACTATATTTTAAACAAAAGAGATTATTACATGGCAAGGAAGTCTTGAGGTAAATCCATACGTCCTTATTGGTTCCTACTTGGTCGGGATTTCGGCACATGGATCGATTCCAAGGAAACGGCTACAAGCCGTGAAATTTTGTACTCGAAAGTCAGCAAATTCCACACAAATAGGTTTGGTCTAGGTACCATTTAATAAACTACTCACTAACCTCGCTTATTAAAACCGTACCGGGGAATGTTGGCTCTCGCTTGTTTTTGTACAGACCTCGCCGTGCTCAGTCTGTATACTGCCACGACCTCAGGCCAATATTCCCTAGTAGAGCTCTCGCGCTAGGCTACAGCCCTTACGCTAAAACTTATTATTTCAATGAAAAGAGTACTGCACGCCTTTGGGTAGTGTAATAAACCTTGGTGACAGTACTGGCAACTAATGAGGTACTTTTCTTGTTCAAAAGGAAAAGATAAGCGTTGCAGAAGATTACTTTGGAAGCGGAGGAATATTCAGCATAACAGTATATGGTGGGCTGGCCTTGTTTGTGGTGCTCATGGCTGCAGGGATTGGCTGGGAGGCATACAAGAAAAACAAAATGAAAAACAGCGGGAAAAGCGGAGGTAAGGAAAATCTCGTTCTGTTGTCTCTTCTGGCCCGATCCAGCTTAACTACTTTGAACGACACAAGGGAGAATTTATATAAATATTGAGCAGCAAATTAACAAATCGACAGTAGTTCAGCGTGATCTGTTGTCTTATCGACAACACTATTCTTCTACACAGTAGTCAAATTGCTGTGCGCCTCGTGAGTCCGTTACAAATTTGTCTTTGTCGATGAAAGGACAGACCACGCTTAACCACAGTCGATTTGTTTTTTACCACAATATCGACGTCAAACTAAAAGATCCTTTCAATGCGTGACCATTGCGTGAGACGCTGACGCGAGCAGATTTCTCTGTACTCTCATCGACAACGCCAAATTGGCCAATTAGAATGCGACATCACTGCCAATTGTGGTAAAAATATTAAAACATATTCTTTCTCTCTACCATCAGCAAGCTCCATCACAGCACCCACAGCCATTGTACTGGAGGACATAGGGACCCACCCGACCCCAAGGCTGTCATTTGGTCATGCACCTTCTGAGCAACTTGTCTCCAAACACAGCATGGAAATCATGAAGATGGACGAAGAGCTAAATAATTTCCGCCGGGACTGGCAGGAAAAACGTACGAAAATGCTTGAGCGACATCAGAGAGAACGAGCTGTTTCTGGCATGAATGGTGACACTAACAGTTCCCTAACACCTCTTAAAGGGAATTGAGTTTACTGTATGACTTCTAGATGAGCTCACATTGTAACTTCTCTCCGAGTTATCATTACACCGTAGGGCAGACAGGTGACGAAAACTTGAAATTTAAATCTAATACTGTCTTGATGTACTCCTAAATTCTCAAAACATAAGCAGCAGCTGTTATATGGCAGTTAGAAAGGAAAACAATGTTCCTTTACCTTAGGACTAATGGAATTAAGGTTGCATAGCAAAATATAGATGCTTGGTATGATTTCAGGACATCAAGTTTTTGTTCTCGACTGAGTTAAAAATTTCGTTATCACTGAAGAGCCGTTTTGGAAGATTTCACAGTTTTGATGCTCGATAACTTTCATCGCACCAACTTTATACTTAATTACAACCGGGCATATTCCTTCCCTCTAATGATTCCGAATCGAGGCGGGCCAAAAAAAGAAAAAACAAAAACGAAATGAAACATCTGAAGTACCTCATCCGACAATTTTCCCGTATACTGAAAGAAATAAACCTGTTTTAGTATCTTTGTGGTATATACTAAGACAATTATTCACTTCAGTGTAGGTGAAAGCAGTGAATATTAACCTTGCCTCTTCGAAACTCGGTAAAAATCCATCATCATTCACCTCCACTTCGGTGAATATTTGTTAAATATTCGTAGCTATGGAATCGTTTGCACGTTTTGTTGATAAGATCTTATATAAAACAAGACCTCACCGAGACAAAGCTTAAACTATGACATTTCTATTTGGTAGAAAATATTGCTTTTATCGCCCGCTTATTGGCTGGCGGATACCATTACCTGATGGGAAATCATTTAGGTGAACGAGGTGGCCATTCCAGAAAACGCGCAAGTGTGAAAACATTTGGTTCAACCTTTGCAACATCTTTAAACAACGTTTTTAACTAATGATGCAAGACTAAAAAGAAAAGAATGGAAATTGCGCCTGGACAGTTGAACCAAAGTCTCCAGAAGTTCTACGTATCGGCAACGAAGACAGCAATAGTCACGATAGGTAGCCTAGGAGACTGTTTCACAGAGATCCTCCTACACAATGTTGGTCACATAAAATTTTTCTTTAATCCTTGCATGTGAATTATACTTGGTTAGGTTAGTTTCAAGGTCAGTCGTCTTACTTTTAATTTGTCACTAAGAGCCGCTTAAGTTATCATCAAATAAAGAATAAAGTTAGCTGTTTCTTACAGAACCCACTTGTCTTGATTCCGTTCTGTGCTATACAATGTCTCAACTCCCAGTGAGGGACTGGACCGATAGTCAACACTTCTACTCTGCCTTCGAAAATTCTCTGTCAAAAACGCTGTCACGAATCAAAGAAAGAGAGTACGGCCAAAGGGTTGGAGTAGATTTGTCACATATAAAAATATCATGGAACTGGCCCCACGTTTGTCATTATTTTAACATAAGGATGGGAAAATCGCCAATAAGGAAAGCGACTTAAAACACGTTCGTGTGGTTTTTATTGCATACAAGATTTCATTATGAGCCGTCATAACATAAGTAAACGCATTATTTTAATTTGATATTCTCAAAAAAGATGCGTGAGAGAGAACATTGATACCAACAAGATACCACATTACACGTAAAGTACACAAGCTTTGAAAGCATTTTACTGAAATGAACTTTTCCCGAAGTCAATCTAAAAACTGCCGCGCAAAAAAGGTCTTTACAACTGTACAAATTGTAACGTCAGCACGTCAATTGAGCCACTGACTAAATCCTTTGATAATTATTTATTAATGTGAAACAAGAGAATTCTTCCTCACACTAAAAAAAAACATAATCGGTGTTTTTTTAAAAAGACGGCTATGCATTCCCTAGTTGTGGATTTTGATTGGTCGTTCAAGAAAGCTATACCGTGATCTCTTGGGAGCCTTGTTGAGATGATCCAGTCCCAGCCACGGTCTGCTCATGCTCTGAGCGCCTAAAAACCAACACATATTTAGTTAAGTCTCTTTTATGGTGGCTAAAACTCTCTCTTATTCGCAGAATAAGAGAATATACTAACATTTCCCTTCAACCCTATAAGAAAATTAAGACTTTGGCCAGTGGATTATTCTTAATTCTGTTACACCAAGGCAGAATTAGAAAACTAAAATACAGTAACGTGAGTTCTGATGAAGTAACTGCCAAGAAAAGATGAATTTCTTCCGAAAGAGTTGTGTGAGAGACAAGAAACTGTTGAACCCTTTGACTCCCTGAAGTGACCAAGCCTATTTCTCTGCACAACTTTAATACATTTTAAAGCCGAAAGGTGATGAGGAGTGAAAGAATTACGAACTAGGGAGACGTTTGATGAAATCCAAAATGAACGACAAACAGTAGGGATGATCAACATTGAGATACTGGGGGTGAAAAGGTAAAAGAAAGAGGTTCTTTTCGTCTTACCACGAGCGTGGAACAAAGGCAAGATTATGAGTGCCCATGCGGGATCTCTATGATGAGCTAGGGCCATAACTACGTTCATAGTGTATGTAACACGCGTCGTGCAAGTATCAGCATTGTGTAGACGTCTCGGGCGTTAATAAAATTATGCAGACGGCAAATTCTTGTGTTCACTCAACTCTATTAAACTTCTTTCAATTTTTTAGAGCAACGAACGGTTGTGTTTACCTGGTGTCTGCGGAAGAAAGTCTTTCACTGAGACGATTTTGTCCGATTCTGAAACAAGACAAATACACGGAAACCGAGAAAAGCATGAATGACGTAAGAACTCTTAAAACAGAGGAGGAATCAAGAATAATGAAGTTACCTTCTGGGAGGTATATCGCTCGTCCCATGTGAATAACTGCGAATTTAACCTACGGGAAAACATGAAAACATAAGCGGGTAATAAATTATATCATCGGCCTGCTTTTTGTGGTTGTTCCTGACTATATCTGCACATCTGATCGTCTTTGTTTCTGACTTTCTACCTATTTTCATACTGTCTACCTTATTGTCCATATTCTCAATTCCCTGCCTGTCTGCCTGGCTTCCTGTCTATCTGTCTATCTTCCTGTCTGCCAGCCAGCCTGCCTACCTCCTTGCCTG